AATTAAATCCTTCTATTCGGGATATGGTAGTCTTTTTACTTTTTATTGGCTTTCCAATCTTCAGAATAGTTGGCGAATCTCTATATTCTGCAGAGTAATTTCTTCTTGACCTCTCTATAAATGTTTTGTATTAGCCAGCTGTTCGGAATGCATATTCAATCCACGTATCTGTGCTAAGAAGCTTCTAAAGCGCTTTAATTAAAAAGAATATCAAATCAACTTGGTATCTAAAATTTAGGCATACTTCCAGGTCGGCTGCTTTTGTAGGAGTGAAGATAATTACAGGAAGCCAGGTTCCACCGATAACCGAGTCCTTAAAACAAGTTGAAAATGGTGATTAACTTATAAGCGAGAAATATCAGATGGATCTCAAGTCACTCGTTAGCTCATGAAGCAAATATTCCAAAGGATGGAGTACAATGAGAAGCAGTACCATGAGAGGAAGCAGTAACAAAGCACGCTCAAGCGAAACTGAGTACACATAATTGTGAATGCATATCAATTTCCTATGTGGAATTAGCGAGGCTTTGCTAAAAAAAAGTTAAAATATCCTGTACGAAAGGAGAAATTCTTCAGGTTTTTTCAATTTTATAACGAACGTTCTGGATTCGAACCATGCTTCGAATGCTAGTTATATTGAGTTGAGGTCGATAGCACAACCAAAGCAAGATGAGGCTAAATTATAGGGATATAGGATAAAACGAAAGTGCATAATAGGAACAGACCACCACACTTTACTGCATCTAGTCTAACTGTCGGTGCCCTGATAATTGAGATTAAATTGCCACTCATATGACTTCAGACAAATATAAACTTTAAAAGCAATCACAAAGATGCCTAATAATCCAAAGTATTCACCACCGATGTGATTTTATACATGCTTGTCCTATTGAAAAATTTAAGGATCTAAGGCTAAAGTTTGGGTCTCACAACTGCCTATACCTATGCCTAAAATTATCATGAATACAATGGCAGAGGACGCAGAATTGGGTATATTTCACATGTTCCCCTGTTTCCCCGAAAATTTACAAAATCTAGATCCCATTAAGCCAATAATCTAGTCGAACCTGAAAAAGAATACATCTAAATCTAAATCTAAATAATCAAGATCTTTCCTCCCTTAATATTTGTCAGTTATCCTTACCTGTTGCATGCTCATATTGTCATTCAACTAAATTATTCACTAACCGAGAGAAAATATAAAAAATGAAAAAGGGAAGGATGGGACAACGAAATAGCTAACTCAGAACAGTATAACGAGAGTTATAGCAATGACCCACTAATTAGTGGCACATAATACATTTTAGGCAAAAACTGTCGGAAAAAAAATTGGCTCAAACCTTGCGTCGTAAATAGTTGCCTCGTTTCAGCGCTGCTAAGGCTAGACAAAGGTTGAGCATCGCAAAAGCAAGGAAAAGCGTAGTACCAGCAATGGCCATCTTCCTTCGAATTCTTTCCGCCACATATATGTCTTCGTTATATCCGTAATGTTGAGGGTAAAAAGGAGTAGGGATCATCTGAAACAAATAGTTGATACGAATTGTAGTAAAAAGTAGGATAAATAAGAGAAAACTGGCTAAAATATCAAGGCTTCAAGGCAGACATAATAGTTAAATTAGAGAATTAATAGAAAAAGTAAACATGTAGATGGTTGCTTGATGCTATGGAAATTGATAGTTTATCTGCCCTTAAAATTGTAATGTATTACTTAGCCAATAAATTCACTTTAATTTTATTTCTCAGGATTTAGTTCTGTATGACAGAAATTTCAATCGCTCCTAACACACGAGATTTTTTAGGCAATTTCGCTGCCTCCTTGGTATCTCCTTGAATTATAAAATTATGGCGAATATTAACCTATATCAGCAAAGAAGAATATAATGGCAAACACCTGCTTGTCGTATCTTTTAAGTCCTAATGCAAAGGTAAATTAAGATATATCTGCCCTGTCTTGAATGTCCCAAAGGCCACGTGACTCAATGGTGTAAATGGACTTTTACGCACTATTAGCCTGTTTCGCTATTAATCCTCATGTCCTGGCTCTAAATCGTGTTGATTGATGAAATTGAGCTTAAATTGCAATTATGAAATGTATTAGCATTATTTAGTTTAAAGCTATGGAGAGCTGGCAGTTGAATTTCCACACAGTGATATGAGTAGAGCTAACGTTTCAATTGCTTTCCTAAAAGATATTTTCATCCAGAGTGGACTGCAGTTTCGACCTTACCTAGGCCTTATCCACATCCCCAGCTAAATCTGAACCGTGACAGTGCAGCACGTAATCTCGGCACGTTGACTACTCTAAATGGGGTGTTGATAAGACCTAGGCGAGTTCGAAACGGTACTTCATCTTAGATGAGAACACCTTTTGGGAAAGCAAGGCTACGTGAAATGCAATGGAAACTTCAGCTCTACTCATACGATTGTGGAAAAATTCAATTACCAGTTTCGAGACTCTACTAATAAATGAAAAATAAATTACAATTATTTTGAATGAAGATGCACTTTTGTGGTTCAATAAAGAAATAGGTATGATATTAGTTCCTCCAAGGTCGAATGGCCAGTGGTATACAGCTACTCATCTGTAGCAATCGCTCTAGCAGTGAATTATGAAAAAAAACGCAATAACTCTTCTTTGTAAACATGATCAGTTTCAGCACGGCATCCAAAAATTCATGCTGAAAAAGATTTAGGACCACGTTATTTGCGTGTTATTCTATAAATTCCCAATTCATAAAGGAGTCATAGAAATAAGGTTGCAATGCTACCTAGTTCAAATTTTTCTTAGTGCAGTAAAACGTGCACTTCCTGAAACCAGCCGAGAAAATAAAGAGGTGTAATGAAGGTCCACAATTTAGAAAATTTACTGTGCGGAATCAATATAAATACACTTCGAAGAGCAAAATGGTAGAATATTGGGCTTTTCTTGACTCCTCCTGAGCTTACAGTAGCCCCTCATTTTATTAGTTTAATTTATTTTAAAATTTAAGCAAAAATATAGGGGGCTATAAATAGTCAAACTTCCCATGGTACGTGTTTCTTCTATTTCCTGTAGAAGGACATCTAATCGCACACATAATCCTGAACATTTGTTTATTTTGGCCCATTGTCTGTCTCTTTGGCAGACTTAGTGATGACTCTTTCAAATAAAAGTGGCCACTCGTCCTAAGCCCTATGTGGCCTTTACCATAGCGGCATAATAGATGGTAAATATTGCTCAAGTATACCAAAACGAGTGCTTGGTCCTGGAGATCTTGGCGAAGTAGAGATCTTGGTGGTTTGGCTAGTAATATTAGTTTAATAAAGGGGATCGCTTGTTTGTGCAATGAGGACGTCCGCTTTGATAGGCAATCAAATTTTTCAATCATGACGTTTTCTCAAGTATTAGGCTGGAACGGTGGAATGTGTTGATAAAGGATAAAACCGATATCCAACACATTTTTTGGGGATTTCGAACCGTTCTTTGCTAATATATTTGTGTTCTGACCAGTTAGTTTTACGACAGATGGATCGCCTCTGAGAGCTACTTCAGGAAAATGGTCAGAAAAGGCTAGATGGCTGAACTGCCTACTAGAGTCCATCTGTGAAGACAAATTAGTAGCAGGAGTAAAATATCCAAAAAAATTGGTTTGAGGTGCTGGCACTACATACAATAATTGTCAGACTGCTAGAAAGCAGTTGAGATAGTAGACTAAACAGTATTAGGTGTTCAGTGTAGATGACCCCTTCCCAGTTTAGTCATGATTATCTCAATAGTTTCTTCAAAAGATAAGTTACCAATTAACGAGCCTATACCATGAGAAGGAATCTTAACGCTGATTTACAGGTCTACATGCTTAAAAGGAAAAAAGTTTTTATAAGTTATGCATGCCTTGTAGGAGTATAGCAGGTTTCTGGAGTGGAAAGGTAATCGTAAATAAGACAGGTCATAAAGAAATATAAGTTTTATGAGTTATAGTCTAGGTATACCTTATCATTTTCTATGATCCAGTTAATTTTAGATAAATTTTATATGAATAGTAACTATTTTCAGCGACTGAAAAATGCTCGTTTGACCTCCTGTGTTATCCAAGTTATTTATACATTCATATCCAAGGCAAGAAAGATAAATACGACAATTGAGTAGAGAGTAACGCGAAATTGTGGTCAACATTTTTACAGGAATAACCAGGTCCTTGCAGTGATAAGACAAGCACGCAATATTAGCAAAGCAATATAAATGTGGATAAATACTCAAGGTATATTAGGCAATACGCATATGAAGTAAGGTGGGAAATAAGAAATTTATAGCAATCAGATGAAATCGAAATATTACTAGCGGAGGAAAAATCTAGGCATAAATACAAGGTATACATGATTCTTTAATCAACAGAAGGAAATATTAGGTTTATGACCTTGCTTTCGCAGGTTGTTCATATTTGACGGGAAGACCTAGGGGAACGCACTTTGCCCGGAGTCCCTAGTATGCACGATAATTTCCAAAGTCAAACCGTGGACTTAGCACATTCCCAGACGTTTCGCCAGCATCGTAGTCGGCATCGTCAGTGAGCATTGCCATTCTTAGCATCACACTACAACTTGTCAAAGAGACAAGTAAAGTCGATCCTCTGACCAATTTTCGCTAAACAGTTGTGGTATCTCTCCTTCTGTCCTGAGCTATTCACCTTAATTGCTTATTTAAATGTGGTATGATATGCCCTTTTGAGACC